TCCAACTACTGATCCTTTCTCTTTGCTCCCAACCTTTGCATTCCAATCACCAGTAATGATCAATACATCTTGATTGCATGTTTGATCAATTTTAGATTGAAGAAGTTGGTAGAATTCTTCTATTTCATCCTCACTGGCTTTAGTGGTTGGTGAATAAATTTGAATTATAGTGCTATTAACTGGGCTTCCCTGTAGGCGCATGGATATTATCCTATCCCAGACAGTGTTGTACCTCATGACTGATCTGGATATGTTCTTTCTGACGATGAATGCAACACCATTCCTCTTTAATTTGTCATTCCCGGCATAGTAAACCATGTGGTTGCCAGATTCAAAATGGCCAATACCAGTCCATTTCAGCTCACTAATGCCTAAGATATCAATGTTTATGTGTTCCATTTCATTCTTGACAACTTCCAATTTTCCCAGATTCATGCTTCGTACATTCCATGTTCTGATTTTCAATGGATGTTTACAGCTGTTTCTCTTCAGTTTTGCATTGTGCCCCATCAGCAAATGAAGGTCCCACTGGCTTTTCTTCCATGAACTTTACTCCTTTCACTTTATCACGGTCAACTCTATTTGGAGGACTTGCATTTTGAGTGCCTTCCAACCTTAGGGGCTCATTGTCTGGCACTATATCTGACAGTGTTTCTCTGCTATTCATAAGGTTTTCAGTGACTAAATATTTGGAAGTAGTTTGTCACTCTTTCTTCCTAGTCTGTCTTTGTCTGGAAGTTCATCTGAAACCTGTCCACCATATGTGACCCTGCTGGTATTTAAATACCAGTGGCATAGCTTTCAGAATCACAGCAACTCACAAGCCTCCACAGTATGACAAACTGACAGATGAGTGGTGGCCGTTTGGTTTTAAGTGGAAACTGTCACTTTAAATTTCAAGATCAGTGCGTATGCATAGTAGAACCCTCCAGGGGTGTGGGTGGGGTGTCCATTCACTCCTGCATCCCCTCTAGTCACCAGAATTGAGGTGCGCAAACAGCAAGAGACCAATGAACAGAAACACCCCCAAAAAAGAATGTCCCACCTGTATCTCTGCTGTTCTATCAGGCATTCGTGGCTGTTCTGATCAAGGAGTCCTTAGAAATTTTTATTTAATTAAAAAAATAATTTGTAATGTCTAGGCAGAATAATATTATGGAGTGTTATTTTGTTAAGTCTTTTTCTTAATATCATTGTTGTTGTTAAGTGCCATCGACTTGGTTCTGACTCATAGCAACCCTATATCAGGTTTCTCAGGAGTAGCTGGTGGTTTTGAAACACCAACCTTTCAGTGAGCAGTCCAGCACTTACCTTACAGCACCACACCAAAACTCTATAATATCATCATGTATCTAGCCAATGTTAACATTTCCCCAGTAAATCCATACTTTTTTTCCTGTTTACCAATTCAGGATCTTAGCAAGGTCTCTACATTGGAATGGGATGGTGTGAATCTTAAGTCTCTTCATTTTATTTACTGTAATTATTGAGCACTGATGGCATAATGTTTAATTGTTCGGCTGCTAACTAAAAGCATGGTGGTTTGATCCCACCAGTGGGGCTGTGAGAGAAAAGACTTGGCACTCTGCCCCCTTAAAGATGGCTCCCTAAAAAACACTATGTTGTGAAGTGTTAATTTTCTTTGCAGTTACTTTATATTCCATTAACTTTTCCCTCCATTTAGTGCCGTCTATTTTATCCCGTAATCTACCTGACCTTCTCACCATCTGAATCTCTGTTCCTACGTGTTTACTTTCTTTCACATTGTAATTGTTTTGATCATAGACTGACTTCCCAGATCCACTGAGTTTGTTCTTATGGTTTTATTCTGTTTTTGGCTCTTCCCTTTGTCAGTTGAGCTCTGGGAGATGCTGCCATTTACGTCAACCCTGGTTGTTGTCTGTTCTTGTTGGTTCTCAGTCCACAGAACTTTCTTTAGGATGTTTTGTAGTGCAGGGTTGGCTTTTGCAAAATCTCTTAGCTTCTGTTTATCCTGGAATGTTTTGATTGCACCGTCATATTTGATTAATAGCTTTGCTGGATAAAGGATTCTTGGTTGGTAGTTTTTTTCTTTCAGGGTTTTATATATGTATCCCCATTGCCTTCTTGCCTGCGTGGTTTCTGTTGAGAGATCCGAGCTTAATCTGATTTGCTTGCCTTTGTATGTAATGCTTCTGTTTTCCCTAGCTGCTTTCATGAGTGTCTTCATGTTTTTGATTTTGGAGAGCTTGATTATGATATGTCGTGGTGATTTTCTTTTAGGGTCTATCCTTCCTGGGGTTCATTGAGCTTTTTGAGTGTTTATCTTTTCGCTTTTCAGGATGTTAGAGAAATTTTCTTCCAGTAGTTCTTCAGCTATTTCTTCTGTGGACTTGTGTGATTTTTCTGTTCTGGAATGGCAATAATTCTTAAGTTATTCCTCTTCATGTTGTCCAACATGAATCTTAGACCTTCTTCAGATTTTTTATCCTTTTTCTGCTTACTCTTCTATTT